AGGAACATAAAATGCAAACCCCAAGCACCATGAGAACGGGGCTCCTGCTGTTCTACAAATAGGGCGCCTGTACTCATGCGACCTGGGGAAGACCAGATGGTTTCTGAGGGATTGCAAGAATGGGGTGGGCAATTGGGAGAAAGAATGACACAACCAGCTTGGAGAACGACACACCGATCACCCTGCACGGAGGATCCCTCCTGCGGAGTACGAGGAGAGGAGAGCTGCCGGACGGCCCGGTATGCCTGTAATGTAGAAGAGTCTAGGTCTGCGATCTCCCTCCTCGTGCCTCGCCTGCAGCTCCCGATACAGCCCTGACCCTTCCGCTTCTGAGAGGCAGCAGCAGCGGCCAATCAGGCGGGCGGGCCGGATAAATGACCCTGGCGGGCTGTATCCAGCCCGCGGGCCATAGTTTGAGAACCCCTGCACTAAATCATCTAACAGATTTCCTATTAGGTACACATGAACCACTAGGTTAAAATGCTTAGGTAACTGAGCTCATAGGCTGCCTTCTTGTCCCCTACCACACCCTCACACTATCTAAATTATATGGTTTACTATGTCACCCCAAGCAGATCAACCTTAATATTTTTCACGTGTACATTGGAATCCATGGAGGGCTTGACTACTTTTTCCAACCTCCAAATGTTCAGCCCAGAAGCCTGAAAGGATGTTCTTCTTGTGTTTACTTGAATGAAAGCATCATTATCTGCAAGACTGGGAATTATCCTGCTGGCTCATATTTAACCCAGATCCTTTTTACATATACTACTGTCAAGATAAGTATCCTATATTTGTGCTTTTCATTTTTCATACATTTTAACTTTTTACATTTTCCCTATTAAATTCCATCACACTCATTTCTGCCCTCTGCCCAACTCTGTCTAGATTTTTTAAAAACACTTTTCTTTTTTCTAAAATATTAGCCACTTGTCCCAACCTTATGTCTGAGAACCTAAGAAGCATCCCTTCAACCCCCTTCAACTCCCTCATCCATGTCACTAATAAAAATGTTTAAAACCACAGATCAAGCCCTGTGGCCCTCCACTTGATACTTTTCTCCAAGATGAAGTCGAGCCATTAATGAGCATCTTGTAGTCATTCATCCAACTGTGAGTATCCTCTAGACCATGCTAGCTGGGAACTCTGGGAGTTGAAGTCCACACATCTTAAACTTTCCAAAGTTGAGAAACATTCACCTATATTTTACCATGTTATTAAATACAATATTGAAGGCTTTGCTGAGCCCCAGGTACACTATGTCTATAGCATTCTTTGGTTTCTCCTACCGCTTGAAAAAATGGTTGACAGATGTAGGAGTATCAATTTGGAAGCTAGTTTGGTAGAGCTTAGGCATCCAGTCTCTCCTGAACCTCAGATTAACTTGGCCCTGGAGGCCAGTACATAATTACTAGAAGACAAGGGTGTGCCTGCAGCAGTCTGAAATGGCCAATGGGATACCAGTCCCTGATCATGTCATCACCAGCACTGTGGAGGAAAGTTCTTAATTTGTTTGTACAGCAAGAATCCTCCTACTGTTGAAAGAAGGGATAAAACACTATTTTAACATCAGAACATCTGGCTGTAAATGTGACTTTAGGCTGGCCTCACTTGCCTATGTCAGTATTTCTACATATCATTCCTGTATTTAAAATGTTTACGTTTTTTTAATGCAGAAGAATGTGTGTTTCATCCTTAATTTCAGCTTTGCAGAATATGCATCGTTTTGTACAAAATGTTCTCTAGTAATCATAACACTGTACATAACTTTATCTAATATAAAACAGTCCCAGTAAATACTCTTTTTAGTCTAAGTATTCCAACTTATTTTTTTCCTTTTGTAAACAAGATTTCCAAATATACAGTATATTCATTTTAAAATGCATCTTACCCAAAACTGCTTTGAATAAACTTTTGAGCAGAGCATACTGGTAGACTTCATCCACTGCTGTTCGTCTGTGCTATGGTTTAGTCACATTTTATGGATTCCTCCATCTCACTCTCACTGAAATACGTGGTAGATTTCTTCTACTCCCTTAGATAAAAATGGCTGATTTTTCCTTGTAGATAATTGGGTTGCAATGATACATGAAAAGAGCCTTTGTTTCTGTGATTCTGGGAGGAAAACAAAAAACAAAAATAAAAAGCTTTATCATCCATTTCATATCCATGTCCCAATAGTTACAAAATTATGTTATGGAAAAACCAGATGAAAATAACTGTGAACCTGCCCAAAGGTAAATCAGTGGGCCTTGCCATAACAAGAAACTTCCTGAAATGAAGGGACATCATTTTGAGACCAGATATTTTAGCTCAGAAATCCCATCTTGTGTTCACAATAGAAAAGTTCCTGATAGTCTGAGTGCATCATCAGTCTGTGACTTTGAATTTTGAAACAAGCATAAAACTAGTTCTGAAATAGGCAGTGCAACTACAAATGGCTGGCCACAATTTATACTAGGTGTCAATTAAAATTTAAAAAAAAAAAACTGCTAGAGATTTTGTTTAATTGATACTCTTTTTTTTTGTATTATTTAATGCCTACAATTAGAATAGTTTGCTCAGTTTTACAACCTAATTTATTGTTTGTTTGTTTGTTTGTTCCCTCCATGGATAGTGCAACTTGAATGTTCAATACTTATCCCGAAGCAGTGAATCAAGTGGGTTACTACTTGCTGTTCACAGTAGGCTCCCTTTCATCTTCTTAATTGCTTGATCATTGTCTTCTAACTAAACTCTGAGCATCTCAAGTGTGTGTTAGCAAGATGAGCAATGTTAAGACAAGCTCTAAAAGGACTTTGAAAAGCAAATCATGTTGCACTGTTTAAAATGCAGCTTTAAACACCATTTTTTAGCAAATATATTTAAATATTGTTAAAATGAAGTGGGTGGGTGGGTGTGCGCGTGTGCGCATTCATTCAACGTTTGCTGTCATTAATTATTTGCATATGATCTTTCCTTAGTTTTTTGCAAAGTTTTACTCATTGCTTGCCTGCCTGCCTGCTTGTCTGCCTTCCCTCCCTCCCTCCCCAAGGAGATCCTACTATAAGATGAACTAGTTCAGTGAAATGCTTAAATGGCATTCACTACCTCATTTTATAACTATTTTTAAAAAATCTATATACTGAAGTATGTAGTCACATTCACATTTGCTTTACTGAATAGGTGGTAATTTAGAAATGCTGCCTGGAGAGCTAGATCCATCCATATGATGTTACTATGGCAATGTAGCGGCTGAAAATAGGTTGAAATTGTACCTTTACTGAGCTGGGTTCAGAGTGCTAGAGGTGGCAACTGAAAAGGGATAGAAAATAATGTAATTTATTCAATGACAAATGATAATAAGGTAGAGACTCAGCAATAAGACATCAGAACAATATATAAGGAAAACTTATGTAATAACTGGAATGGGGAAAAAGGTAACATAAATCATAGTGCATTAATCTAAAGGACAAATACAGTTGGGATATATAGATTGTAGCTATTTATAAATTCAAAAATAATTAAATTAAATAAATTAAATTAAATGTTACTAATAAAGTGTATATACTTTAAAACTCTAAAATGCATCCTCCCAAAACATCCTCCAGCACAAAGTAATTAAAATTTATATATTTATATATTTAAGAAGAAGAAGGAAGATGGGGGGAAGGGTTATAAGGTTCTATAAGATACAGCAGGGATCCTCAAACTTTTTAAACAGGGGGCCAGTTCACAGTCCCTCAGAATGTTGTGGGGCCGGACTATAGTTTGAGGAGAGGAGGAGAGCCGCCGGACCCGGCATACCTGTCACGTAGAATAGTCCGGCTCTGCAATCTCCCTCCTCCTGCATCGCCTGCAGCTCCTGACACAGCCCCGACACTTCCGCTTCTGACAGACAGCAGCGGTGGCCAATCAGGCAGGCAGGCTGGATAAATGACCCTGGCAGGCCATATCCGTCCCGCGGGCCGTACTTTGAGAACCCCTGAGATACAGTATGGCCTATAAAATAGTAGCAATTGTCTAATTGATAAGAAAGCAGTACATTTCAGACTCATGACTCTTTTTTCATCCTAGTGTTTTTCCCGCATGTGCAATGTCCTGTTTTTGTTTGTTTTGTTTTGTTTTTTTGGATCAACCAATTGTTGATCCGTTGGTTGCAACAGGAATTGACTAACTGGCTTGTCACCCAAGCCTGGCATCAGGGGCTGAAAGAGAGTGACTGGCCCCAAGTCACCCAGCTGGTTTTCATGTCTAAGGTGGGACTAGAACTCACAGTCTCTTGGTTTCTAGCCTGGAGCCTGAACCAATACACCAAATTGGCCCTCAGACCAAACTGGCTCTTTCAGAGACATGAAAAATAAAATAAAATAAAATAAAATAAAATAAAATAAAATAAAATAAAATAAAATAAAATAAAATAAAATAA